CTCACTTGCTGCTTTTCTTGCACCTTTTTTGCCTCTCCCCCCCCTCAGCCCTCCCCGCCTCCTGCTGCCGCTCAGCGCTGCTCTCTGGGCCCCGTGTCCCCAGTGTCCCTTGTCCTCACATCCCTTCTCTCCACACCCCTGAGCCCCTGTGTCCTCATGCCCCAATGTCCCTGTGCCTCTGTGTCCTCATGTTTTGTGTGCCCTGTCCCATTCCTTTAGTCCCCCTCATGTCCCCATGCCTGTGTCATCTCCCAATACCTGCCCCTGTACCCCCATGTCTCCTTGTCTCTATATCCCAATGTCCCCACATTCCAATGTCCTCATGCTCCTGTGTCCCCCATGTCTCCATATCCCTGCATCCTGGAGCTCCTGTGTTCCTGTGTCCCCATGTCCTTACCACCCCCAACACTGCCACCACCCCTGCCACTGCCACCACCCCCAGCTCTGCCACCACCACTGCCACCACCCCCAACACTGCCACCACCCCTGCCACTGCCACCACCCCCAGCTCTGCCACCACCACTGCCACCACCCCCAACACTGCCACCACCCCTGCCACTGCCACCACCCCCAGCTCTGCCACCACCACTGCCACCACCCCCAACACTGCCACCACCCCTGCCACTGCCACCACCCCCAGCTCTGCCACCACCACTGCCACCACCCCCAACACTGCCACCACCCCTGCCACTGCCACCACCCCCAGCTCTGCCACCACCACTGCCACCACCCCCAACACTGCCACCACCCCTGCCACTGCCACCACCCCCAGCTCTGCCACCACCACTGCCACCACCCCCAACACTGCCACCACCCCTGCCACTGCCACCACCCCCAGCTCTGCCACCACCACTGCCACCACCCCCAACACTGCCACCACCCCTGCCACTGCCACCACCCCCAGCTCTGCCACCACCACTGCCACCACCCCCAACACTGCCACCACCCCTGCCACTGCCACCACCCCCAGCTCTGCCACCACCACTGCCACCACCCCCAACACTGCCACCACCCCTGCCACTGCCACCACCCCCAGCTCTGCCACCACCACTGCCACCACCCCCAACACTGCCACCACCCCTGCCACTGCCACCACCCCCAGCTCTGCCACCACCACTGCCACCACCCCCAACACTGCCACCACCCCTGCCACTGCCACCACCCCCAGCTCTGCCACCACCACTGCCACCACCACTGCCACCACTCCCAAAGCTGCCACCACCACTGCCTTCCAGGATGACAGCCCTGAGCACCCCCGAAGTCCCCAGCCTGGGGCTGCACCCTCTAAGAGGGCTCATCCACCTTGTGCCACCTCCCTCACTGTGCTCATGTCCCCGTGTCCCCATTCCAGTGTCCCCTTGTCCCCACACACCTTGTGTCCTCATCCCCTTGGGTCACACTGTCCCCATGCACCCCTGTCCCCATCACCACATGCATCCTTGTCCCCACACTTCCGTGGCCACTCTCTCCCATGTCCCCGTGCCCTTATGTCCCCAAACACCTATGGCCAAATGTCCCCATGTGTATGTCCCCATGCTCTTGTGGCCCTACATTCCCCATGACCCCCCTTAGCCACATGTCCCCATACCCCCATGTCCTCCTGCTGCCTGTCCCCAGACCTCTGTGTCCCCACCCCCCCCCCTACCCCATCCCCATGGGGACACCCAGAACCCTGCTTGCTGCCCAGCAGCACCCAAGGCTGCCAGACATGACCGAACCCTTTATCCCCCCGGGGCCACCCTACAGGTTTTTCGCCGGGACGCCTACCTGGCTGAGAGTCGTCAGGACCTGCTGAAGGGGGTGGAGGACTTTTTGGAGGCCAGCATCGTGCTGCCACCCACCGAGACCCCCAGCGAGCAGCAGCTCCGGGCACTGGTCCCTCTGCAGCACCAGCTGCTC